GAAAATTCTTAGAACTCTTGAGGACTTGTAAAACCCCAGGTGCTCTAGTTGTCGTGGTTACCCGAAGCGGTAGCACCTGGTAAGTTCTGCCCTAAGAGGGGAACTGGGCAAATGAACTAAGAAATCTTCTAGAGATACGTGATCAGTTGAAACCTCTAAGATTTCTCTGTTAATTCTATGATGAAACTGTGTGTGTTCCACTCCGAGCTTGTTAGCCAGACAGATTGTCGTGCCCCCTTCTGGTAGGACCCAAAGCCAACATCAATTCATAAATTAATGTCAAGAATTTTGTCCAGAAGGCGTTTCCTAAAACGTTCCATTCCTAGCTTGTTAGCCAGACATAGATTGTCGTGTCCCCTTCTGGTAAGACCCAAAGCCAACATCAATTCATAAATGAATGTCCAGAATTTTGTCCAGAAGGCGTTTCCTAAAACACTTGATAATACTTTACGACCCTTCGCTATAGAGTTTCAGAATAGCCTGGCGAACAATCGGTAGTTTTCAGTTGCGCAATGTTTCGCTTTTAACTCAAAAACTGCATCAGGCCAAGTAAGTGAGTCTCCAGAAGTTTATTTACTTCATTCATCTGCCTGTTTATCTGTTTACTTGATTTCTTTATTTCTTCATTTTACTTGTGACCATATCAACTTTCTCTGAAAAGTACCCATGCGTAACAACGTAATTCGCCCAGGTGATCCACTCCATATAAAGCTATGAGCTTGGCTTACGTTGTGAATAGAATACATCAGTGAGAATCCTGGGATGTGCCTGGATTCGAACTGTGACTCTTCAAAATGTTTGACAAATGCCATTCAGCACCAACCTGCGCATTAAGCGTAAAAAGTTGCGTACCATGCTAGCAGCATCAGACCTTAAACCTCCATCATCATCCTAAAACTCTTCCATTTAGTCTAAGGAAATATGTAGTCTTTCATATAAAACGATGTGGATATTTTCTTCGTCCTAGTCTTAAAAAATTAACGAAAGCCTGGTCATTCTTCTACAATTCACTTAACTGCTACCCAAGTCAATCTGTTTCTGCTCTCGATAAAGCACAATATCATTAGTCAGGACGATTCCATTCTCGTGCTTCTGGAGGGATTCGACAGTGTATAGAGAAAAAATGCGTCTTCGGCTCGTCAGGTCGATCAAATCACTCGCAGCACATTCATGTGGTGCAACAATCTATCCATTTTGTTTTCTACTTGATGACTTACAGAGTTTAACAAAACTTTCAGAAGCTTGCAGCTCAAGGATCAGAGTGCACCTTGATTCACCGACCTGATGGCAGACCTACAATTTGCAAACAAGTGTACCACGCGGAAATTCATCTTTCAGCCGGGAATATTTCATCGAACACGAATGTTCTGAATAGGTATATTCTTATTTACTTCCACTAAATCAGGCCAGAACAAAGATATTCTGACTGATGCACTTGGTGAATGTCTGTAAACGCAGGCAAAATTTACACAAAACATGACCTGGAAAATCATGAGGATTTTCACTTGCTTATTATGAGAGGTGACAGCTTCCTTTATATTTTAACAGATAATGGTGTTACTTTGTCTGTGAGCACTAAATTCTGACCGGATGCATCAAACCGTCTTCTTGACGCCTTAAGAAATGAGGAAAATAGTATAGTACAGGTTCATTCGGTATTGGGTAGTAGCTTATTAAGGTCATCAAGGTACTTACGCAAAATTCACTCTTTTTGCGATACTTCCATTCGCTGTCTACATACCTAAATAAAAATCTCAGTCAACACACCAGTAGTAAACACACTTGTTCTGTAGATTTTTGGATCGTGCATAGCCTTCAGACACCAGATCAATTCTTTTGACGCCTGAATTGTTGAAACTACCGTCTTTGTAGATATTTCAACGGCTTTGTTCGCGCACAATACTCCATCAACAGCACTCCCTCATCACGTGAGACTGTTGAAAAGTGGCAAGGTTGAACCTGTGGAACTTCCGATTGACTTTGATGTAGACGATCCACGTTCCATTTGCTGCTGAAACTAGCCATGGCGTCGTGAACCACTTTGTTTCTTACGGTAAAAAGTGAGCCACTTTGAGTAGCTATAGTTTTCTAACACTCCCAAAATATGTGCTTTCTGAACGAATCTGGAACGACTTAGTTATCGAACGGAGGTAATCTAGTCCTCTCGAAACCCGCTTGATACGGGTTCTGTGATTGAAGGATTAGTAGATTTAAATTTTTGTAAGTGCGGGGACACTGTCAGTCAGTCGATCATCGCGAACGGTTCAGTGCTCAAATAATTTTCCGGGGTCGTCGGTTCAATAGGTGCATTGATGATGACTACCAAAGACAAAACAGCCGTACTGCGCTTTTTGGCTATTCAGTACAGAATGGCTCCACCTGGAGAACGGTAACTCCACTGAAAATTCCCACATCCTCCCACACTACCAAGAAGCTGCAAGTAACTCAGAAAGAAAAATAATTCAAATGCCGTGTAAAATTTTCATCCAAGAAGTCATCACTCAGGGAGCCAGTTAACTTGACCATGTGATACGCATTCCACGGTTCCGCATTATGTCTAAGTGTGAGTTGATCACTACTCTTATCAGCCGCTCGTGGCTAAACAATTAAATGTTCAACTACTAGTCCGAGGTTTCTGATTTTCAGCTTCCTTGAGTTTCGTCAGTTGCACACTGCTCCCCATTCCCAATAAGAATGGAACAACTACACCGGGCTTTGTTTGTTCAACTTACTTTAACCTACCCCATCAAGCCACCGCGTCTAGTGACGCATAAAACCGAGTTTTATAACTTTTACCGTAATCTTATTCATCCTTAGCGAAATACACTCATTTGCAAACTAATTTAATTTTTCGAGAGACTCACCCGGAACCCAGCTGAATCTCCCGTTTGTGATGTTTCTAGGTTGATGGAAACTCGTGGACTGCGCCTACCTGATTAGCCCCAAGAAGGACAAAACCGGTCGAGGGATGCCGGCGAATTTTCAGCAACCTTATGAGTAGTGCATTACAAATATACTTATTTATCCTTGTTTACTTGTGTGACCTTGATTGATTCCATCTAAACTACTGTGTGCATCGGTTATGTCGGTGTCTGTGACGCACACGTCCTGACAAGCTGTGTTTGTGTGTTTAACCAAGTTACACGTGAACCACGTCGGTTGGGTTAGAATATTGGCGGTACCGTAGAAAAAATCCCTATTCATCTGTTCGAACAGAAGACTGCAACCGGTTTAATTGTGCTTTTGAGCCCACGTCACATGTTGTATGAGCCTTGCAGAAGTAATCTATACGATGTCCGCGTTTCACCATCCTTTTGATATGAGCCGACTCATCTTCCCCCGGTTAAAAGTAGAGGTTGTAATGTCACCATTACTAAATAAGTAATGAGAAGTATATTTAGAACAACATTAGCAACACTGAAAGTCAACTAAAATTATATTCTTTTTCATTCACACGCGCTAAAACGAAAACTGGTCCAGGTGCTCCCATACCCATTCGTTTCTCATATTATGATCCTGCTTGTGAAACAGACGAAATGAAAGGACTCGGATTTGAAATAAGGAGTTTTCCTGAATGTTTTCTATAAACGCGACCGCGACTAAAGATAAGTACATTTATTGTCCCATTTCACATGTTCCGCAGTCACTGAAGCGGACCGTTGAACCCACATTTTAGTGGCTCGTTTAGGCAGTCGCCATATGCACTCCCCTGTCGAGTATAATCAGTCGACCGGGACTTGTCATAACCTGACCCGTGCGTTTGGATAAATCTTGAATGTCTGCGATTGTGGCTAGACAGCGCCATTAGCAGGGCGCAACGGGGCGGATAGATTGTTGAGTTGTGGGCCCAAAGAACTTGATTTATTGTTTTTCTGGCCATTTGATATGCTGGAATGAAATTCCCATGACATCCGTGAATTCGGCAGTAGTTTCTGTCTGATTTCGGTTCTGAGGACACATCGAAAAACTAATTCCCTCTTGCTTGTCGGAATTTGGTGCTATGGTAGATTCAGGTTGATAACTCCTAGACCGAGTCAACGAACCCGGGTGCAACCGACCAGCTGTTCTCTAATGGGTCAAACTACTCAATGAGTGTACTACTCGCGTTGGCCGGAGATCACCGGATCAATTTCGATGGAATTCGTATCTTACTGCAAGATCCCGGTGGATAGATGTATGATCCATATCCTTCCCTAAAAAGTTCCACAGCCTCGTTGTCCACATTCAGGACCTAATGACATCATCCGTTTACCGCTTACAGTACCCAGAAATTTCAACAAACAAGGATTTCTGTTCATGAACATTCTGGCCAATGAAATTCCTGTGGCGAATTAGGACACCTAGTGTCGTTTCGGCCTATATACACTGACCCCTGAATGAACCCCACCCTTTGGTCAAACAATTTGTATCCATCTTTCGAAACAAATTTACATCAAAAGCAAATAGGTCTACCAGGAGTTTTGACTGGAACCTGGAACGCTAGAGGAAGTAACTGCGTGTGATACCTGGCTAGCAATAAGATATCAACCGATGACCGAGCATTTGGAATCAGGGTCATCCGAGTTCCACAACAAAAATATCCTAAGCTGGTTTACAGAGAACAACCGCCTTTGTCTCGTTGGCCATTGGCCACACTAGTACAAACTGTAAGCTTAATTTCAGTTGAACTACGAAAGCCTATTCGAATAAGAGATCCGTTTCGGTATCTTGTTGTCAGGCTCTAACATAGCCTCTCTCACGGTAGGCGACGGAAATATGTGGGAGGCAGCTATAGCTAGCGGCAGGTTATTCGCCATAGGGATGGTGTGTAGGCAGTCAGCACGCTTGTTTCCCTTATCAGAATACTGGTTCGATTTGACGCGTACAGACGTTTCATTCAGATACTGTTATATAACCGAACATGAATCTCGAAGTCACAATGGACCGTTGTTTTTGGGTGAACGTGAAGTAACCAGGATGGTTTAAGCCCGTTTTCTGCTGTCATTAACATCCTTTCGTTTACCAGTGTTTTGACTTATGCAGCTGTAACCAGTTAGTCAGTGTTGGTTTATTTATTGACTGATTACGAAGCTCTTTTTTCCAGGCAAATTCTTGATTAGACGTTTGTAAGTTCAGTGCGCACTAACAACAGGGACTGCGTCTGCCTGATGAACAACAAGTAAAAGTCCAGGGGTTTCCAACCGACTTAGGAGAAGTCTTCCTTTAAGAAAATAACTCCGATATCCGGAATATCGTATCAATGGAATTACTAAGTGGCCTTTATATACACGCTTAGCTGAAAAAATATCATAAGCGAGAGAATCAACTGGAATGTGGCTAAGTCTTCCGTAGACACCAAATTTGTTTGCAAAATACGTACTTTACTAGATATACAAGGCCATTTCCGAGGCCATCGTCGTCCGTCGCATGAGAGAGGGTCAGGAGCAATAAAAGAAGGACGATATCCTTCGGTGGCTGGAGAGGAAAAAGTCAGATTTAAGATTGGTTCCCAAACCAGCCACTGTGCACCGTACGAAACAAGTGAGACTGACTAGACTGAACTGACTCTGCAAGTGTAACAGTCGCATCGACTGAACCAGTCGTTTGCATCTAGTGATGGTAGATTCCCTATGTACCAGCAACATGTGAACGTTTTTGTGAGTTTTTGACCACAATCCGCTCTCTCTGATAATGGGCGTCGTTGGGGTATCCAATAACACGTTGTCAACCACTCACTTGTCTCGCCACTGTGCCGCTTTGATGAATTTACTGTAGAGAATACCCTGCTCACTTTAAATTACGGAGCTAAGTTCTTGCTTCAGTATACTTAAAATGCGGTGAGTGCCGTCACTCAATGAAAGGAAATAGCATTGAAAATGTTTGAAATGTCTAAATTGGGGATGCAGGACTTTTCTAAGCAACTAGTGCTAGCGAACTTCAAACCGAGCGATGAAGCTCTCGGAGAGTTTCTAAATTTCTGACTATTAACAACGGAACTCTCGCCTGACGGGGACTGCCTGTTTGTGATCTCTAGGAGTTGGATTCCATTTAAAGAGATACATCCGGGGAGTAGTATTACCTCAATCATTATATAATATCATTCATTAGGTCTCTTCTGTTCTGGTATTGTTGTTCTGGAAGTGCGTAAGAATTTGGAAAGATTATGTAGGTTGGTGAGCTGTAATGCTGCTCATATGACACATCTGGGTTATTCCAAAACAATCATCCAACGAACCAGCACACAATAAGATGAGAAAATCAGGTTTTGATAGTGACTTCCATTAGACCCAAGGTAGAGTGGAAGATTGGATTGTCCGGACTGAGGGCCGGAATCATGGCAACTAGAAGAGTTTCGCTGAAGCCACCTTAATTCCGGCCCAGGAAAGGAAGCCAAAGCGACTGAATAGCGGATCAGTGGTGGTTATTACAAACCCTTTCAAGTTAAAATGATTTCATCAAATTGGGCCGATAACATGAATGAACGTTCCGCCTAAAGTAGTGTATCAGACATTCTGGGAATAGAACTGTCTGCTCTTTGGTTGTAAGTTGTTTCTTCAATGAAGTTGCAGTGAAAAGATTTTAGGTCACTAGAAGTTATCACATTAGCAGTTGTTTTATTTTAAATTTGCTCTCATAAGGGGCCGCGATGTCTCCGAAATCTGCTTCATGTCAATAATTCTCAGAGGAATAAGAGCGGAATAACACCTGCTGACAGGATTTTCTGAAAATGCTGCACAACTTGACACTTTTAAATGGGTCGTACCATTTGTGCCCTATCCGTAACAGAGTTTTTCAGAAGCATGAAATTTACTAAGCATATAAAGGGGTGTAAAATGATGACGATTCAGCATACCGTGATGTAACTGGAACATGGCAATTTTGACTGAACAACTCAGTCAGGCGGCTGGATGGATGAGATTGTATAAAACCGGGGTTCGGTGCCATGCAAGAGGCTTCGAATCCGCTGTTGGTCCTGTACATTCATAAGATATACACATTTTTTTCAGAAATAAAGACAAAGAAGTGCAGTTTCCGAGTTATTAATGGATCATAAAGATCATTCAGTAGGTATTTATTCAAATGCGCATCTGTACACAGCAAGAGCTACCCAACTTAAGGAAGCCAGATAAGCCAGGAATGAGCCTTCTGTTGGAGTAAACTGATAAATATGAACCAACAAGCTGAGACTAATCAATTGTCACCATCCGGCTCATTCATGACAGCATGACGTTGGGCACCTATCAGACCTCTTATTTCATAAGCGTCTTTGTAATAAACAGTTTTATCACTTTAGTTTCCCGAATGCGTACATTAGGAAGCACCGTGTCAGGGAAAGGAGGATGGTCAAATGATAATCCGATAGTCAAAACACTCTGTTTCGCCGACTGCGTTAATTGGTAGCAGGATTGAGCAGTTGATACCCGAGAACCAAAGCCACGAAACTTTAACTGATGTGCCAGCAAGACTATGTTGATGAAAATAGCTAATCATTCAGCTGTAGCAAGCACTCTTTTGGCGACTAACTGCCGTGCCACCAGAAGGAAGCTCGAGGGCTGGGATACTGCCAAGTTGCCCAAGCCTAGACAGCCTAATGCTTGTACATTGTACTGGTAATGAAACTACGGTCAATGGTCGGATGGTGCGGTCTCCCTGGAGAACCTACTTCTGTGATTGCACCACAGCAATTTGCATCTTATGTTCGTCATTATGTTAGTACCCATTCACCAGTTTACTGGGGAAAAACACAAGATCATGCTTGATGAAGGAATGAATAATGTATTTGTAGACCGTGAGTGGATAACAGTATTTTTTGACGAGGAGATCAGTCCCTCTTATTCAACAGTCATCGCACTATTCGTGATGTAGTGTTGACTTGTGGAAGTTGCTGTTTTACCACGCAGCGATATTTATGAGCTGTGTAGAACAGCTTCTGCGGATTACTGGTTTCTATTTAATGACAACTTGAGAGTAAATTTGCTGAAAAAGGTCTGCCGAAGTAGAGAAGCACAAATTAACCTTACCCAGGCTGCGATAAAGTAACATTGAAATCATACGATTCCGCAAGAGGTGTCGAAGACGTACATAAAAGGAAAGGAAAGACAAAGGTACGGGCATCTGTATCTTTGCTCACTTCTTAGGTAATCACTCTGTTTAGTTATATTTTCTAAAACCGCTTTCAAATCGATACCTTACTTATGCTAATACACCCGTGGAAATATTGCTAGAGTCTGACATAATCAACAGTTCAAGATGAACCTGTCACATCATATGTCCTAATGATGTTTCTTTTGCATTATACTTCATCAGCAAACTCCAGTTAACTTTACTACAAACTTTTCTGAGGTCAGACAGTTTTGCAGAAAAGCTACTGAGGGCTTACACAAAAATTTACATAGATGGGGGGCTTATGTCCTTTTAGTTGTTCATGCTCTTCAACGCAAAATATAATTTTGACTTTCAACTAGCCATCCAACCAGACCGTCTAATTATGTGAAAGGCTCGACCATGAGCACAAAGATTTGTCTAGAAAAACCATTGGCGGTCACTTCAAAAGGCAAACCGGATGCACCTATGGTAGCTGGCTAGAGTTGCTTTGAAATAAATCTTTGGGAGAACAGATTTGAAGATACCTGGCAATCTACAGATTTCCGGGGTTGGCGACTGTAGTTCTGCCTAAATCTCTTCAGCGGGTCCGGTCCATTAGCCTGCTATCGCCCAGCTGAACCCTTTACTTTTTTTCTTTAAAAAGTTTCGGTAACATTAACAATGTGGTTATACACTGTTTTATCTCAGGCATCGGGTGATATTGTGGCTTGTGGAATACCAATAAATTATTCCGTTTCAACTGCTGTCCTCCACACCCGTTCAACGGAGAGCATTCAAAATTTGAGCACCTAATGTCTAAGGCAACTGAGGAGTGAATTGACGATTCTATTCCACCTGGCAAATGCAGAACTTCTACGAAATCACGTTGCATGCTGATAGAGTGCGCCTTTTTACAGCAGCCACTTCACTCAGTGAGGGTAGCAATAGCTACCCTCAGGTTGCATTCTAGAAGAATGAAACTCAAAGATTCAACTACCGATGCTCCCAGGCCACAACTGCAGTCTTCTTGAGTACTTATCGATTAGCTAATCTGCCGATAAGAACAATGGTTCATTTCACTAATGGAAAGCTGCGACTCATCATGGATACTTCGAGAAAAAAGGTCGACTAAAAGCGTTTAAAAGTGATTTCCTTTAGATACGGCAGCCAGGCAATCAGGGTGCTACTGCAGGTTTTGTAGGCACTGTAAAGCGCAGTGCATATAAAAATAGACAAAAAGTATGAGGCAGTTTGCATTTGAGCGTCAAGTGAGTCTGGTAAGTTCCTCAGTATTTTCTGAGTACCAAACACATGAACATTGGATAAGCCTACTAGCTTACTCGAAGCGCATAGCAGAAAGACGTTTGATCCAACCAAAGATGAACAAAAGTCATGTTCAGTTCAGCGCCGATTGAAGTGAAACCTAGACAAACCAGGCCACTAGTTTTTTGCTGTTACTATGCGGATAAGGGAACGGGACAAAAGCCGAAGTGAAGAGTAAGGGTCGTTTAAGTTATGGAATGTGGTAACCAGCTAGATGCGATTCAGTCAGACACGGATATCATAACTGATTCCAAAACTTAGGACTCCTCAAGCTTTATCTATTTGGAGAGACTAGGAAAAATCACATTTCTACTTGACACCATTCTGGCTTTAATCACCGAAATTATAGTTTCCGAGATATCTGATTATCCGAATAGCTTGTGGAATAACCGAAACTGTAGAGCCAAATTGGGTCCTCCGAGGGATTGGATAGACCAAACGGAAGAATGACAACTCTTTGGGGAGAGCTAAGGGCAAACTTTCTCTGTCATTAGTCAGTAAAGGACGTCGCATATCTCCTAGTGTGCACCTATCAAATCGGATTTGAGCAGGCCTTATTTGTTTTTCACAACTGCAGAACGCAACCAGATGTTCAGTGGGCTTTTGTACACAACAAAACAAAATGAATAACCAAGTCAGTAAACTTGTGTCCTAGAAGACACGAGTTGGAAATTTTTCAAGTGGCCTTACCCCAACAGAACGGAAAATCAGAGAAAACGGGCGGAAATAACGGTGTCCGACAAACCGCAAAAATGGGCAAATTGTATTAACTAAGGATCGATTAGTTCATTCGATGTAAGCATCTGCTTTTTCAGCAGAAATCGAACTGTGGTACAGGATATTTTCTGATCCGTGGGCCAAAGAATTGGAGGCCATTCAATCGGGTTCACCATTGAAACTGCTGATTTAAATGTGGGATCAACTTGTCGAGCAATGTTAAAAAAGTCTTAGTGACCATAAACTCTAGAACATTAAGTAGGATCCGGTGTTCTCGTAGCGTCGTTTTTCTGCAGCATACTTTCAAATGCCCTGATCGTTCAACGTGGTGGTGACTTCTTACTTCTTAC